AAATTCTATGTACTCATTGGAATTTTTTTTCACAAAATTTCTTTATAGAAAATCAGATAATGTCAAAGATACTGTAAACATATTATAACCCTACTGCTAACATAACCCTACTGCTTCAAATAGACTTTGAAGAGAAGAATGACACTATATCAGGAGAAAAATATCTGAATTCATCAGCCTTTTTTTTTCTTTTTCTACTTTTGGCATATTAGGGTAATTTCTTTTTAATATAACCTCAAGCTTCAGAAATATACATTTTCCACCAATAAAATATAGTGTAGATTTTAATTCCTAGCTTTTTCATTCTAAAGGTGGAATTTTAATTAACATTATTTGCATTATTTTTTGAAAAAAAATCATGCTTATTAATTAAATTCTACAGCTATGCAAGTCTATATTAAGACAACATTAAATGTTTACTTTAATCTGTACTTTCAATCTCAAGAATCAAAACATTTTTAAAAATGTAATTTCAAATGCGTTGGGATTTAACAAACACCAAGAACGAAAGTAATTTCGTTAACTAAAATTAATTAATGCAGCAATTTATTTAAAATAAATTTTAAAACTAAGAAAACAAAATAATAGAAGTATCAATAATTTAAAACACTGATTTTTAACTTTCAAAATCAATATATATATTTAAAAAGAAATAATTGATTTAAATCAATGATTTTTTTAAAAAAATCATTTGATTTAAATCATGATTTAAATCAAGCTGATTTAAATCAACAAACCCTGGTAAATACCACAATCATTATGGATTATAACAAACATATTACAGACCACAGTTGGCAAGGTTTAAGACAGAATGGATTAATAAGCGGTTTAAACCGTCCTGTCCAAAAACAATTTTGTCTTAAACTGTACAAAACATTTTATTCAAATTATGACACAATTTTAAAAAAACATTGCAAAAAATAAAAGGTTAATTTTTAAACAAGAAACAAAATGAATTCAAGTTTTTGTTTCATTAAGAAAGTTTATTATTTTCAATACAGCATTATTTATCCTTATGCAAAAACATGATTTATCAGCATTAAAAGCATATTTAAAGGATAATATATTCACTTCTTTTGTTCAATGAATTGTGGAGCTTCGAAAGTTAAAAATCTTTTCCTATTAAATCATATTATTTTCCTTTAATAAGTTGAAGCAAATTGTATAAAAAGTATCAAATATTTATTAATATATGTAATTATTATGAGTACAATTGTTACATAAATAGACATTTTACCTTTTACCAATGTTCGAGGTTTTGGGCACTTTAAGACAGTTTTAGTCAGTTTAGAACAATTTAAAAGAGTAAAACCCATGCGTCCTGTCCAAAACCAGTTTAGGGCGTCCAAAACACGAACCCTGTTATGGACTATAATTTATATAACATGTTAATAACTCAATCATTAATAATGTAACAGATAAAAATTATAATTATCTTGAATATCATAAGTTATAAGAATTATGGAATATGAAATCATTGCGTGTGTTGATAAATTTTGTTTCGATAGGAAAAATATTGATTAATGTAAGAAAATATAAAGTAGTAAAATTAGAAAAATGTTATGTATATTTAAAAATTAGTAATTCTTCTCCAACACGTACACAGCATTAAAATTTGTACTTGTTGGTACTATGCTCACGTTTTGGATAATTTGAAAAAGCAGTTGCCAAACTAAAAACCCACATGTCTAATAAAATACAAAACATTAATACCAAGAGAGGTCATAAATTCCTAAATATCAATGTGTCATGATCTATCACACTAACTGCATTCTCAAGGGTGCTTAATGGTTTTTAAATTTGTAAATTTAAGAAAAAAAAACATACATAAATTTTTTTTTAAGGGAGACTACTAGTTACATCTTTTGAGTTGGTTCTTTTCTATGATGTTTTTTTTTTTTTTAAAGTCTCGCAACATGGAACTCCCCCTTTAAAAGTAGTTTTGTGCTTTAAATTTTTCTCATCAAACATTTAAAAAAGGTTCTAAAGAAGTATTATGGAAAATTTGACTTAAAATCTAAGAGTTTGCAGGTCTGTGGTTGAAAAGAAAAATAATTAACTTTGATGTATATGGCGAGTTAAAATTGTATGCAATTCAGTTTCAACCCTTATGAAATAAAATCAATCATTAAATACTCAATATGTTTAATAATAAATGAAATTCAGACAAAATCACAGGTAACCTAAGGGATCATCAGGTTTTCGAACTTTTTCCCACTCTTCTTGACGTTTCTGTTTAAGAGCTTCTACTTCAGCTTCTGTAACGAAGTTACGTTTCAAGCTGCTGTCAGTCATATTGAGTTCAGTAAACGACGAAATGAACTATTTTAAAACGAAGATGAGAAGGTATAGTAGTTAATAAATACTTATTCTGGAACAGTACATTTAATTTTGATTACTTATTTTTAAAAATAGTAATCTTATAAATTCACAGAGCAGAGAAGCTTCTATAAATATATTTATAAAAAAAACTTCCTTCGCTTTTCTTTCGGTCAAAAAAATCTTATAACAAATATTTTGGATTGATCATGGTAGATTGATGTGAATTGATGATCTTCTAAAATATCACTTGTTCTAGCTTTTAGCTTTGTAGGCTCGCATATAATTTTCGAATGTACTAACTGCGGCAGTGAAAATAATCCCTAAGATTAAACCACTTTCACAAGGACGTTCGTTCATTCGCGACTTTTCTTGTTTTTGTATAGTTTAGGTTTTGTTTTCTGGTCAGGGTAGGGCATAGCTATTTTTAAACAGGAGTTAATACGTCAATGTAAATAGTTTTTTTAATTCATTGATAGTTAATCATAAATAGTTAATTGTAGAAAATAAAATGTATTACAATTCTTTATAAGTTGTTTTAAAAGTTGAATGTAATGTTTTAGTGAATATTTGTAAAAATTGTATTTTGTTGAAAAGAACGTGGATTCTTACGGCCGTTCAATGAACCATTTTATATAACCTTTCGTACTTATCTAATAGAAAAAAGGTTTTTCTTTTTGCACGATCGTTAAAAAATAATTAAAATTAATACTGTATTTTTAAGGAAATTATCATCACGAAGAACGACTCATTTTATTTTTTATACAACTGTTTCAAAAAATTATTACTCTCTCAATTCGTAAGCGTTAATAATGGAAAAGTAAATTTTGAAGGACTTTACGATATATAATAACAATTTATTTAACTAAGCTTTCTTGGAAAATACCTCATTTTTTCCTGTATTCATTTTTAGTTATAGTAATAAAAATGAATGTATAGTCAATTATTAAATAGCAACTTATTTCTAAAATAAACAGCTGTTTAGAAATCTACCTCATTTTTTGCTATATTTATGTATTTTTGTAGAAATTGATGATGGAAATGAAGTTTTTCATCATTCCGTTTAACATGAAATTAACTTAGATTTAAAATATTTTTTTTCAATGTCCATCTGATTGACCCTTGTCATTCAGGTATCAGTTGGGCAGATATGTTGGCCTCTCTTTCATGAGCACCATACTAGGTTGGTCAACATTCCTTCTACAGTAAGCAGGGGTCTGTCCAGGCCGAATTTACTACCGTTTAGCGGTACCTTCACAAATTCAATTTTAGGTAAAACGGTAGTTTCACAAATTCAACTTTAGGAAAAACGGTAGTTTCACAAAATACTTTCTTAAAATTTTATTTTTGTATCCCATAAGAAACGATAAATTTATATTTTTACCATGTTTTTGTATTGATTTTTTAATATAATTTTTAATTTTTCACAAATTATGTCTAAATTTTCACAAAATAGGTACCTTTCAGAAAAACCTAGACAGACCCCTGGTAAGGACAGATAGTACAGAGAATGAAGGAACATCTTGCCTTTTCCAGGATTCAAATCCAGGACCTTTCTGATGGGAGGTCAGCTCCTTGACCACTACACAGTCTGGTTGGCAGATTTGAAATGTTACATTTGTTTATACAATGGTCTGTCCAGGCCAAATTTATTAACGTTTAGCTGTACTTTCACAAATTCAACTTCAGGAAAAACTTTAAGAAAATACTTTTTCTTACAATTTTATTTTTGTATCCCGTAAGAATCGTTAAATCCATATTTTTGTGTTTATTTTTTAATATAATTTTTAATTTTCACAAATTATGTCTACATTTTCTCAAAATAGATACCCCGTAGAAAAACCTAGACAGACTCCTGTTATAGACCTATACCTTTCGACCACTAATACAAAAAAAATGATAAGCTAGAAAAATTAGATGATTAATTACTTTATTTTCAAAAGTTACTTTGTTGCTGTTATAAATTTCTTATCTGGGTACAGTTTGAATTATGAATTTTTTTATTTCAAATTCTATCCAACTAGCTCCGTCTCTCTTGTTTTAAAGTATAAAAAGTTAGCTTTTACTGAGGAAACAGTAAAATTTTTCTTTCATTTTTTTAATCACTGAAATATATACTTATGTTTACCTGGATAGAGAAATAGCAATACAAAATATTTTTCGATGGCAATGACCTTCAATTTTGATATGGGGGAGATTTCTGTATCACTTCTTATGCCTAAACAATCACAATATTGTAGCATTTTCTAGCATGAGCCTTTGAGAAACTAAGAAAAAAAAATATATAAGGGAACTAACTTAAAGGGTCGAACTAATGGCCACTACTATTTTATTAAAATATTTTTTATATTTTAAAATACTCCTATTTTTTCATTACATATTCATTAAAAATTTTTGCAACTCTCAATTTTCTTTGATGACTTGGCAATTGATGTTACCTTGAATTGTTTCCGATATGGAAATATTCCTTATCATATTATAAAGTAAATTAGGACAGAGTGCGTAGTGATTTTAAAAGGTGCTTAAAGGTGCTTATTTTTGATTAACCCTTTGTCAAAGCCCTTAAAGGTGATTTTTTTTTATTCTGGGTTTGTAAAATGTGCTTAATTTTCTATCTTTTAAAAAGATATTTTTTCTTTGCCGTGTCAATTGTCATTCTAAATTGCAAAAAATGCACGATTTTTAAAATTTTTTCTGCAATATTTATCAGAAACTATTAATTTAAACATGATTATGTGAAGTTTGTGAAAATGATTTTGAATTTTATTGATTTTATGTTCATAAATTAGGAAATTTAAAGGATCGAAAAAATAATTTGTATTACTTTACAGATTTTAATTATGTTTTTTTTTGAAAGTTATTAAAAATATTTTTTGAGTGCTTAAAAAGTACTTAATAGGTTCTTATTTTTTGTTGAAAAATCTGACTACGCACCCTGGTAATTGAAAGAGAAAATTAAAATAATTCTGACTATTATTTTGCATTGTTGTTTTTCCATGATGCAGGTGTTTGATTTGTTTTAATTAAAATTCTTTGTTTTCTAAACATAACCCATTTCTTGTTTGTCTATCAATAGATTAAAATATATTTTTACTTTTCAGTTAAAATCTAATGATGGATGATATCGAGTTGAGGAGTATTGAGCCTGATCAGCCACTGATACGATCCCTTTCAAGGGCTGACTCATTTATACAACAGGTATATTACCACTATATTTGTTACAAGTAATGCTGAAATGAAAATTTCAATAATTAGTACACCTGTGTTGAAAAGTCCCTATAAGTTTGATTACCAGGCAAGAGTACACAAGAAGCAAATTAATTAGTTGTTCAGTGATATTTAATTTGTATCTATTTTAAGATGATTGTATCTATTAATTCGTAAAATGCATATAAGTTAGAACTATTTAATTTGTACTGGTTTTAAAATGATTTTGTAGACAAAGAATGTGAATCTATTTACAGGGTATCCGCGCACCTAGAAAGTCATGAAAAATCATGGAAAGTCATGAATTTCGGTGGTGAACAAAATTTGTCATGAAATGTCATGATTTTAGCTATTTTAAAAAAGAAGAATCATGGAAAGTCATGGATTTAGGTCACCAAAGAATTTTATTTTTAAAATGGAATCCCCCTCCCCCAATTTCATGGTGTTCTGAATATCTGAATTTGTAAACAAAATTCCCACTCCAGAGTCATATTTTATTAAAATATAAAAAGTTTTTATTATGTTCTTTAAAAATTATGGTGTTCTTTCGAAAAAATGAAAGAAAAAACATCATTTCTGGAGCAAAGTATCTTTTAAACTTCTGTGATTTCAGAATTATTATTCTTATTTATTTATTTTTTGTTTTGTCAATTTATCAATTCTAGCTGAAGGGAGCAGAAATATCAGGAGTATTTCTTTTATTTCTGATGAACAAGAAAAGTATATTTAGAATATAATTCTGCAGAAAAAAAGAAGAAAAAAAACTAGTTGCTCAGCTATTATTTTTTCAGCTATTTTATTGCTTCAACTCTTTCTTTACTCTGTTTTTTAAATTTAAAATCAATAAATCTGAAGATACAGAGTATAAAAGTTTTGGTTATACCTATCATTTCAATTAATGTTATTACAATGCTTTTAAAATTTATTATTCTGTTTTTGTCAGAGAAAATAATAACTTTGTTAAGTCATGAAAAGTTCTTGGAATTAATTATGGAAAGTCATGAATTTGAAAATCTAAAATGTAGCAAATACCCTTTATCTATTAATTTGTGAAATGCATGCAAGTTAGAACTATTTCATTTATACCAGTTTTAAAATGATTTTGCAGACAAAGAATGTGGATCTATTTATATTGTTCTGGGCTATTTAATTTTTTATCCATTTTAGGATTATTGTATCTATCAATTTGTAATACGTACAAATTAAAGCTGTTTAATTTGCATCTGTTTTAGGATGATTTTGTAGACACTGAATATGGATCTATTTGTGTAGCTGTTCAGGGAGATCGAAATAAACCTGCAATTTTGACATACCATGATATTGGTTTAAATCGTAAGTGTGTCTGATCCCCTAATTTAAGTGTTTTTATGATATTATTGCTTTCTTACTATTCTTTATGTTTAAATAAGCCTCCCTAATCCTGTCCATTCTCCAGGATTTGAATACAAATCAGGAGTCTGTCCAGGATAAATTTACTGCTGTTTAGCAGTACCTTCACAAATTCAACTCCAGGTTTCTCAAAATGCTTTTAATAAAGCAAGATTCTTCTCTCTGCCTCTTAAAATTTTGTTTTTGCTTAGTCGAAAATGTTCACATAATGGAAATTACTTTTAGTGCTAGTACTGTTAAATGCATGTTATTATTAAATTCAAGTTGAAATTTAAATATGAACAGTGTTTTTTATGGAGTTTTAAATTTGGATACAATTTTAAGCCCAACATTTTACAATAGCAGAATTATTTTTGAATATATGGGAAAAAACATACAGAAACTTACCACTCATTAATTATTTTTATTTGGAGTGAAAATTTTTGAAAATGTTTTCTTACTTTACTATATTTTTGTGTTAATGTTTCTTATAATTTTTAATTTTCACACATTATGTCTTAATTTTCACAAAATAGGTATCTCTCTCTCTTTGCTNAAAAAAAAAAAAAAAAAAAAAAAAAAAAAAAGCTAGACAGACCTCTGAAAATACATTACACTCCTGATTATTCCTGTTCTGATTTTCTGCTTTATTGGTTATCTATACTTATTTTTAAAATAATGATCTTTATGCTTTTATTGCTTTCATAATATTCTTTATTTTTAAATCAGCTTACCTATTCTTCTGGATTTCATTGAAAGTACATTACACTCCTGATTATCCATCCCTCTACTGATTTTCTGCTTTATTGATTTATTCATACTTATTTTTAAAATAATAATTTTTATGCTTTTATTGCTTTCATATTATTCTTTACTGTTAAATAAGCCTACCTAATCCTGCCGATTCTCCAGGATTTGATTAAAAATTCATTACACTCCTGATTATCCCTCTACCGATTTTCTGCTTTATTATCTATATTTATTTTTATAATAGTGTTTATGAAAAACTAGTTAAGCTATAGTTTGAAAATAGATTTTAAGAAATTAATTTTATTATAATTTAAAGATACAGTTCTGAAGAATGTTCATGTTAGCATGAAAACAATAACAATACTATATATAATGAGAGTACCAACAAATGACTTGCACTCTTATTTGCATATTTTTCTTAGTATTGTTGTATGAATTAGTTCAGGCTCGATTCAACCGAAATATCTATTCTACTTGTAAAATATTTTCTATTATGGAGCCTTCTTGTAATAATTTGCCCATTGCATCATATAAAGAATGGAATTAAACATGATTTTGTTGCTTATTAAGGATAAATGTTAACTTTTATTTAATAATTCACTTAATATCTAAAACTAAATGTGTAAAGGACAAAGACTAACTAGACCATTTTTACCTGTCAAAAACCACAACTGGTGATTTGCCATCAAGCTAGATTCAATGATTTAAATCAATTAATTTATTTAATAAAATATCATTGATTTAAATCAAGTGATATTTTTAATAAAATCATCAATTTAAAAATTTATGAAGCAATTTTAATGCATCTTTGTTTAAAGTTCTTATTGGTTTATCATTATTAAAAATTTATTTTCTACATATTGTTTTGATAATAAGTTTCAAATTTTTTAATTATATTTATAAAATTAAACTAATTACAAACTATAGTTTTGATGGTATATTTTGAAAAAGAAATATGATTTAAGTGAAGAAAAAAATATGATTTAAGTCAAAAATATATCATGAATCATGCAACATGGAATGTATGTATTTTAAATTTGAATTCTAGTTGTTATTACAATATTTTCCTGGATATCTTTCCTACGATACCTTTCCTACGATTTCTTTATACGATATTTTCCTAGTTATCAGGGCTGACTAAAAATCACGTAGAACGTTTGATCATTAAAGCGTTTATTTTCTGAATGTTTTCTGTCTGTCATCTTTGGTTATTGTACAATATTAAATTTATATATTTTAATCTTATAATATAAAACAGGCGTTTCCAACTTGCATGAGGCCAGGGACCACAATTAAAAACACAAATCAAATGGCGGGCCGCAACTTTATCAAAATTTTATATAGGACTCTTTTTATGTTTGAAGGAGCATTAAATATTACTGTCAGATTTTTACCAAGTTGTACAAAACAAAAGTATTGAATTACAAATTAAAATAAGAAGTAGATTTTTAAAAATATTTAATTGCATATTAAAAAATTTGGACTACAATAACTTTAATGTGTACCTATGTATTAAACAATTAATATGAAACATATCTAATTGTTAAGATATAAAACTTTAAAAAGGTTGGTATTAAAACTTACATAGTAGCATGCAAAATGTTCAATGATGAAATTGAGGTTTGTCTGCTGCATCCACCTGAGAATAGATATTTACATTTTAAATTTAAAATTTGCAAATGTCTGCGTAAATATTTTCATCCCAAATGAGTGGTTTAAAAAAGTTAAATTGGAGAATTTCTTCGAGAAAATTTTTGATACACACATGTTAAATTATATTCACAAAATACAAAAAATGAAATAAAAATGAGAAACATAAATGATTATTTTTGTATTTGAATAAATATTTTCTTGGGTGCAAAACCTGAGAAACAATTTTTTCTGCACCGTTGGTATGATAAATTTGACAGAAAAGAAAAGAAATTAGGTTTTCCTTAACGAGAAAAGTATTTTAAACCCATATAGATTTTTTGTGAAAATTGTCTGCAAAAAAATGACAACTAATATATTTTAGTTCACGGGCCATAAAAAAAGGCTTCGTGGGCCGGATGCGGTCCCGGGCCGCCAGTTGGAAACCACTGATATCAAAAAACAGCACTAATCTGTAAGAACCGTAATATTCTGAGGAAAAAAAAATTAAATTTTTTGCCCTCTGGCAAAATCGCAGAATCATGGAGATATTGTTGCAGAACATTACAGAGTTGTTTCAGAAAAAATTTTCTATTAAGAAGAATTAATGTATGCCTGTAGTATCGTAAATCCATGTAGTGTTTGATCATATTTTCGTCAGTTATTGATTTTCTCCTGGTTTTTATTTATCCTGATATATTTCAGACGATATGGAAATTTTGAATCATGCATTCGAGTATTTACTATTTAAGGCAACGATTCTATTGTCTTTTTTTCTTTTTGATTTTTAAAATCTGATATTTATTATAACAATCAAACGTTGAAACAAAACACGCATTTGAGTAATCCCTTTTTGAAAAATCTGATTCGCGTGATTTTGTCGTTGGTCTGTTTTTTGGTATTTACTGTTGGGATTTCATGATTTTTAATTATTTTTTTTAATGTGATAATGCTTTACAAATGCGTTAAAGTAAATAATTTAGTACGTTTTTCTCCCCCTACAAATTGTGAAAATATTGTCCATAATATTAGAATGAAAAAAATATTACTTATTCACTAAAAGTAATTAAATGTTTTTTTTTTTTNTTTTTTTTTTTTTTTTTTTTTTTTTTTTTTTTTTTTTTCTAAACACAGCATTTTTATTACTTTAAATTGGTAACATACATATTTGTTATACTTTTCTTTACTTTTTTCTGTTATACTACAAAATTTCTTTAAAATTTTTTGAGATTAATGCTTAAAAATTATATTTATCTGAAAATATAAGTGTCACATTATTGCAGGAAGATATTGGTGCTAGAGAGTTTTGTCGCAGAAAGCGCGAAAAAATTCTGCCACTTAAGTTTTTTCTTGACCTCATTTATCTTTTGGCAACTAAAGTGATACCATATTAACTTCTTCTTTTTTTTTCATTGTAAAAACTTTTTCTTAAACTTTTAATATGAGACTAATTAATAAAATTCTCGTCTTAATTTTATTTTAGATGTGTCAAACTTTCAAGCTTTTTTCAACTACGTTGATATGCGCATTCTAATGCAGAGCTTCGCTATTTATCATGTAAATGCTCCCGGTCAGCAGGAAGGAGCACCAAATTTCCCAGAAAAGTAAGTCATTTTAATTGCTACTTTATGAATGATTTATTTATTTTGAAAACTAATATTAGTATAACTATTAACTCCCTGAAAGCATGTAACCTTACGGGTCGCAATTTTCTGTTTATTGTCATGAAAACATTTGTACTAAAAACCTTTTTTTTTCAATAAGACAAAAATATTGCAGTTTCAAACCTTTCATCCTAAAAGGATTAAAAATTATTTTTTAAAGGTTTTTTAAAAGTATTGCCCATTAGGTAAAATGGTCACTTAGGTCCATCATTAAGATTAATCTAACCTCACACTAGCAATAGGATCANTGAATTTCGTAGGCCCTAGGCACGTGCCTACTGTGCCTATAGGTTAATCCGGCCCTGCCATTAGGTAAAATGGTCACTTAGGTCCATCATTAAGATTAATCTAACCTCACACTAGCAATAGGGTCAAATTGCATTGTCCATTAAAATTTCAAGACAAGGTGTAATTTAGCTGAGCTTTCAAGACTTTGCGAAAAGAAACCTTATAATAACCTAGATTTTAAGATTATTTTCACCTTGAGACTATCATTATTAAAGGATTTTTTCAAGCTTGAAAACTATAAATCAAACTCAATTTAAGGGATTCATATAGAAGGTTGTTTTCCAAGGTTTTAGATTAGGGTAATGTGCGTAGAATAGAGCAGATTGTCACAGATCTAATTTTAAAGTTAGAGGATTTACATGTAAACCGCATAACAAATCTTTTTAGGTTTACATTAAAAAGTTTTTGCTGAGTGAAAATAAACCTTATTAGTGTTATCTGGAAACTGTTTTTTTTATGTATATAAAGCATTTAATTATTTTATGAGTTTAAATTACATGGGGGAAAACCTTATTAATTCAACCTTTTAAAAATCTTTGGGGGAATGTATATCCCACCGAATTAATTCATTTTTAAATGACAGCGAGAAGTTATTTTCCCACTTATGATTTGTACCTCCATCTATTTAAAATTTCAGATAATAGTTTAATGACTTAGAAAAAGTACCAATAAAGAGGACTTTGTTTAATATAAATGTGGGTAACAGTAATGGTTAGCGGGTGACAAAGAAGAGGGGCTAAAACTGGGAAGTGTTATGCATTCTCTTGTGTGTTTGATCATTTATCATAGATTTTTTTTTGTATTAATAAACATAGAATTTTTAAATTCCATTATTTATAGCCGATCGGGTACTTGCACTTAGAAGATTTCCCATACCCACACATGTGACCTATGACATCAGCCCCAGCTAATCTTAATCCGCAAGATGGCGAATTAAAGTTGAGATAAGTTTCTCTACATAAGTTGGAATGTGACTAAACAATAAGTTAATTAAGTACAGAGCACTATCACACATCTAATTTTTTAAGATGTAATTAGTTCTGGTCAACTTCTTTTATTTAACTTAGACTTATTATTTGTTTATGCATTTTATTGCAACTGTGATATATATTTGTTTTTTGTACCTGGTAACTTAGATGCATAATTAGTTTATGTTCTGCATATGTCTTTGTGTTAAGTCTCTGTGTAAATATATAGTGAAATAATTGAAATCTTTGAGAAAGAATCTTTGTGAAAGAATTTCAAATGTGCCACTTAAGAAAATTGATACTTGACAGGCTTGGCTAGCTGAAAATAGAATGAAAGAACATTTGCAAATTTGTTGCAACAGTTGCTTGGAACTTTCTTTGTATATACAAATTTTACTATTGAGACTCATTGTAAGTTATAATATGTGTGTAGAACTGATTTTTATCCAAAAGAAAGTAGATCATGGTGGATAGTTTATAATTAATAATCAAGCGTTCTCAATCCTTTTAGAGCTGTAAAAGATTTCGCTTGTAAATATACTGTTTTTTTTCTCGCTTTTTTCCCTTTACAAATCAGGTTTAAGAGAACCACCTCTGTCAAAATAAGCCCCAAAGATAGCTATGTGGGGAAATTATATTATGTCATTTTGCGGATGTCTTCAAATTCTAAATATCGACTTTTCAAATTCAAAAATAAGAAAGTTCTGTTATGAGCATCTTGACCGTCTAAAGCCTCCCCTCCCCATTTGTATTAATCCTCATCTACACACTTTAGTCAACTAACTTTCACATGCTATATAAACTAACAGTTGAATAAAGTATAATTGATTGAATTCTTTTGACATTGAAATATATTTATTTAACAGCAAATTATTTTACATACCACTGAAGAAAAATAATTATGTTTAAAAATGTCTCATTAATTTTGACCACGTTTGGTTTTTTATTTATTAGTTTTTGTCCATTTTGGACATCAAATAACAACTTATGTTAATTATTCTCATTATTTTTCTAAATGAAACGTTAAGTATTAATAAAATAGATTTTGTTAAAAAAAAATCACATCTATTCACATATATAATTAAAACATAATTAAACATTCCAACCTAGCTTAATAAGTTATTATCCATAGGAACTAATCAATAGCTAAAGAAATTGCTCATAAACAATAACAACAATTTTTATTATAAGCAAAAAAATAACAACAACGAAAGTAGTTAATTAAATGAATCATAGTATTCCAAAATGTGGTTGCAATTAGCCATATAACAATAGTTATTGAATCAAAGTTAAATAACGAAATACGATGAGCACGAGAGCTTAAACAAAAAGTGAAGTATGCAGAGGGAACGGAGTTGCTGCTACTAGTGAAACTTAAAATCGCCAATGGTGCCAACACATATAATTTACTGTTGTATAGAGAAAACTACAAAACCTTGTTAAGTATCTATCTAGAAACAATACAAAGCACAAGTTTGATCTTAAAGGGCTTCCTCTGCTATAGTTGCTTTATCACTCTATTTAAGCCCTTTACACAATTACTTAAATAATGCTGTATTTTCTTCATTACAGCTATATTTATCCAACTATGGATCAGTTGTCAGAAACCATTCTCCCAGTGATGAAATTTTATGGGTATGTATAACAATTGACTTTCTTTCCAGTTTGCTGTTTTTATATCCAATAATTATAGAGCATTATTGCTCAGCAAAAATTAGTCTATGGCTACTTTTTCCTTGCAATGTGGTTGAGGGTGCTTCACACCTTTCGATAACTGTGCTAGGCTTGAGATAATTTTTAGCAAATCATAATTAAGAAACATAAAGCCATGAGCAACTACTTTTATGTTTATCTTATCTTTTATACCTACATTATTTACACTGATACATTATTAGTTTTGGCATCACACATAATTCTGATGATCAGCATTTGACTTTTTGATCCATTTTCTTTGACATTTTTCAACCATTTATAAAGATTATTTATCTATAGGCTCTTCTATTTGCGTCTAATCTTTAAGTTAAATAAATTTTTAAATTAAAATTTTGTACTTTAAGTTTTTTAAAAAAGGAATTTTTAAATTTTTTTTTTTTCAAAATTGTTTTTATTATTCTTTATTGAGGATCTGGCACTATTTTCAGAAAACTGCTAAACTGTTAGCATTTTTTGTGCAGATAGGTGATTTATTTTTTATGGTACATAAAAGCCGAGAATCTCCATTAAAAAAACCCCGTTATTTTTCTTAATAAATCAAATCGTTATACTTCTTAGTTACATTTTTTTAATGTATGCAATTTGAATTAAATGTCATTATATAATAAACAATTAAATTTATTTTTCAATAGCATTTTTTTGAAAGAAAATTCCCACTTCAGTGTGATAATTCAGTTACGTATATTTTTGATACAAAGGGCTGTTTAAGGCAAGGGGTGGGATTGTTCTTACTTTCCATTGGCACTATCTATGGCCAAGAATTCGACTTCTGTTACACCCATATGTCACACCTGTTTATCGGGCCAACCCGTTAATTCATCCACAGATACTAATTTCATACTTGGCAAGTCTTCTGTTTTTTGACGAACACTCCTGTATTTTACGAGTATCTCCTGTTTACCTGCATATTGTCAAATTTCTCGGTATTTGTTGGAAAAAAAATGTTGAAAAATTTTGCGATAAAATATCTGCTAACGGCAAAAATATTTCTCTTGTTCCTCAAATGATGGTGTTATTGCTGTTACTGCAGTATGTTCAGTGTTTATAGTTTGAGTAATTTTAAATAATCATTATTATAAACAATCATAGTAATAAAATCTTCTTTAGATTAAGATTTATATTTTTATTTTTTACTTGTGTATTGCTTATAATATTTTCAATTTTGAATTTCTCTTTTTGACTTACATAATTATGCATAATGTGTCAAAACTTTACTTGTAGCCCAAAAATGTCTCTAGTAAGATGCCTGTTATTTTATTTCTCCAATGTTGACTGTTATGTAATTTTGATCTGGACCAGAGATTGATCAGTGTCCTATTCAGTACCCCTAAAGGTATAATTTGTTATGGGAACATGGAGGACTTCGTGTGACTCAACAGATTTAATGTGCACCAGTCACTGTTTAATTCCCAGAAAATCTTCGACCCCCATTCTCATGATTGTGAGTCCAGTGCACAGCCAACTAGGCTATCCCGACCACTCTTTTCCACTGATAAATTGTTATGGACACCAAGAAAGAGAAAAAAAAGCATATCAACGAGGGTCCTAAACACATGAAGAAGAAGCAGACGTAAAACCCTAAAAGCCCAATTTTCTTCAAGTTTTTTAAAATCAATGTTTTTTTTTTTTACCATAACCTAGAAATGTTACACAGAGAAGTAGAACTTAAGTTTATTAGTTATCTTTTAGTTATTTAAGTTTAGTTATCTATTATTTTCACTTATTCTCTCCCTTTCCTAGATTAAAGTGTTAATGCTCTGTTCATTGATAAAAATATTCCCACTTTTGTACCTAACTCCCACAAAGTTTCAGATACGACAAAATAGCTACCTGATTTTGTACTGTGGGAATATGTTTTCAGCTTTTCAAAATTGCCTCTCTGTCACTTCAGACTATACTTCGGAAATATCGACTTTTCACAGAAACCCTTTGTTTATCTGATTTCTGGTCATAAATTTGTTTCAAACAGAGCATTTTTATAGTTGTAAATAGGGGACAGTTTTGTTAGCAATTCATACTTGCCAGGTCTCCTATTTTTCAACGAAGACTCCTGAATTTTACGACTATCTCCTGTTGACCCATATATTCTCATTTTTCTCCATATTTGTTGAAGAAATTTGTAAAAAAATTTGGGATAAAATATCCGCTAATTGCTAAAATACTTCTCTTATTCCTCAACAGATATTGCCAGTGCTGCAGTATGTTGAGTGTCAATAGTTTAAGTAATTACAGTGTAATGTCCCCCCCTTTTCCGGAAGGGTCAATTTCCCGGACACTTTTTAACAATCAAAATAAACAAACATTTCTTCATCTTCCCCTCTCCTTTAAAAAAAAAACCCCGAAGTTTTTTGACAGGGTTTTTCCCTTTTCAGCTTCTAGAGATCTATGCATTAAACCTATAAATCAAAAAATCAACAGAAAAGAGAACAGAAGATCTACTAAGACCATGACGCTCCTCCTCTGGAATGCAGAAAAGGGGGGGGATTTGTTTTCAAAAGACCACAACTGAGTCCTCTCCCTCCCCCTTCTTTCCTATGCAGCTGGCTAGTAAAAGAGGCATTTCCTGGAACCTTTTTATTTGAGTGTCAGGGGAAGAAGAAATACTGTGAAAAAGGGTAAACACAGCAAATGTTAAAGTGGAGGGGGAATCCCCTTTAGTCACACAAGAAAAAATAAAGAGAACCCAATCAGCATGCCACGCCTTTATGCTTGATTGATAGCCAATGATGGGAGAGAAAATAAGAATTTGTCACTACCCCGCCCTCAACTTGAATGACAAGTAAGGAGGAAATGAATTTTTCTTCTCCACCTACCCACCTTATTGAATGACGGGAATTTCCCCTTCTTGCTTGAATCGTTCTAGTTCAAAATGGTGGAGAGAGCAATTAATATTTTCATAACTGGGAATTTTTTTCGTTTTCTATATTTATTTTTAGAATAGCAATAATTATTTTTTTTCTAATATTTTGTTTATGATTGATTAGATATCATTCTAATACTAAAACATTATTGCCCGAAAAATAATGTTTTTTTATTTTCTGCTTCTTAGATTCAGACCATTTTAAGCTTTGTTTACCTTGGAGGTCAATTATACGGAAAAATCAAATATACGGACTTCGGGAAGTCCCGCCGATTCCGGATACGCGACTTTTCACTGTATAAATAATCTACCATAACCATAATATTCGATTATCCGCATCTGTTCTGACAGTCAGGCTGCTCTCCTATCACTGTCAGGGTGTAAATTAACCTCTTTGTTAGTGTGGGAATGCTTATCGGTCCTCTGTGACCTATCCACTCATTACAGGGTATCCCTGCATTGGGTACCTGGACATATGGGTATCGGTGAAAATGAGCTAGCTGATGAAGTGGCACGGGCTGGCTCTAATGCAATTTTCTGGGGCCCTGAACCTGCTCCGGGAATTTCTCCCACCTCATTTAGGGCATCCATATTCAAGCTCTATGGAAAAATTGCCCATGAGCAATGGCGCACTGGCCAGAGACAAGCTAAGGAGCTAAATCGTGACTGTTCTAGTGTACGTCAAAAAGAGCTTTTAAAGCTTAATAGAAAAAGTTTATGGAAGATCATTGGTCTTCTCACTGGACACTGCATCCCTAGGAGACATCTATACATAATGGGAATAGAATCCAATTCTTTTTGTCGGGGTTGTCATCTTGAAGAAGAGACATTACGACACATACTCTGTGATTGTGAGGTCTATTCTTCTCAAGGATTTGAGCATTTGGGGCAGCATTGCGTCAATGCTTGGGAACTGCAAGATGTTCCTGTAAGGTGTCTGCTGAATTTTATTTCAGCTATAGGGCTTTCATGCTAATCATGATTTAGGGTTTGAGTACAATAAACCTCTGGTCAATGTGCCCTGCTCGTTAGAGCTGCCCAACCTCTAAGTCTAAATTATAAATAATGGTTCTTTAGATTAAGATTTATATACATATATTTTACTTCGCTAAGTGTGAGTGCTTATATTATATCCAATTTTGAATTTTTCTTTTTGACTTACGTAATTATGCACGATGTATCAAAACTTTACTCGTAGCCTAAAAAATGTTGCCAGTAAAATCTCCTTTATTTTATTTCACCAATGTTGGCAGGGATAGTAATTTTTTAGGTTACTCTATTTTGAGTAATTTTTTTTTTTGTGAAAGTGATCCTGATTCAAAGAAGACTTTTCTTAGTGACATATCTTTGATATTTTTGAAGAAAAAAAATTAATATCTTAATATTTAAGATCTTTATACAAATTGGTCTTCTTGCACAATGCAACAATAGGTCTATTGAAGTCAAATATGCAGGTGCTGCATATAAAAGTGGCTTATATAGACCTATCGCTAGATCTAATTTTGAAGTTATAGACTTAGATCCAATTGAAAGATAGACCTAAAAGTGCATTTTTAGAATTATTTTTAATAGACCTATCACTTTATTTCTAGAAAGCTATAAATGTTTAACCAGTAGTGTTTAAACCATATCTTTAGTACCAAATCAGTTATACAAATTGCATATTTTTTGTCTCAATTCTAAACCTTATTTGCCCCAGATCACTTATCTTCAAAAATATTCATTGTAATTAATTATTTTTTTTACTTATTTGTTATTTAAAAAAGTTCTATAAACTAATTTTTTTCCAACTTGTTTTACTTCATAACACATATCTTTTTGATGATGTTTTCTACTTTAAAAAAAAGTATAAGAAAAGAGAATTAATCTTTATGTTCTGACTCTTCATTCTTTTTCAGGTTGAAACATTTCATTGGTTTCGGTGTTGGAGCTGGCGCAAATATTCTTGCAAGATTTTCGGTAACTATTAAAAACTAAAATGTTACTTAGCATAGGATACATATTTATTAAATATCTGTCATACTACTATATGAATTGAAATGATTTTTGCCAAAATGTAGTGAAAATGAAGTTCAAAATGTAGTGAAAACATGGAAGAAATTACAAAGCAATGAAAAAAGGGGAAGAAAAAGAAATATAATAAGAAACCGGAGAAAAAATAAAAAAATAAGTAAGAATCCAGAAAATGAAAGATATAATCTTTTCATCAGCTCACACGATTATGTCCGCTACATATATATCCGCTACATATATGTCCGTTTTGCTACATATATATATATATATATATATATGTGTGTGTGTGTAGCACAATAAATAAATACAAAAAGGACAACGACAAAAAAGCGAAGAAAATTAAGAAAAACAATAAGTTTTATTTACTGCACATAAGCTGCAGTAGAACTCATAAAATACGCTCAAAATGTAGAGAAAACTACAGAACAATGAACTCACACTATTGTATTGATACATTTTGCTTTGACTATTTTGATACAATATTAGAAAGCACTCCTTTTTGTGGATATAATCGCGTGAGCTGATGAAAAGACCATATCCTATTTTTCTGGATTCCCCCCCCCTTCAGATTTCATCTTATTTTCTTCCTTCAGATATTTTAATAAAATTTTTTGTATGAATTTTTGTAATAAGTAAAATCTATGACAACTGAGTGCTTTACTTTAGAGACTCATATAGTTTTACATAGAATTTTTAATTTTTTTCTGTCTTTTATTCAAAATATAACTATTATCAATAATTTATATATTTGTGAATTCTAAACTCAATATGTTGAATCAAATACTAAAATTTTGTTGTTTTGTAAAATTTAATATTTGACATAGATTCTATTTCAATGTAAAATGCATTAAAAAAAAAGAGATGCTCCTTAAATGACTCTGACTTTTGATGAGATTTTCATGCACTAATATACAATCCCAATGATTTGAAGATATACTATTAATACATGAACTAATTTGTACATTTGAGATTTCAAGTTATGAAATTAAGACTCAAATATTTCTTTAATCAACATATCCTTTTTTTATGTTGTCCCTCTATTCCAAAAAGAGTGGAAGTTTGTATCTGACTTGTAAATTAAAATATCATCTGTACTAACAGAGTTGCCACTCCAGAGGGAGAACAGGGAAAACCTGGAAAATACAGGGAATTTAAAAATCACTTAAAATAACATAAATGTTAAAATTTCATAATCAAATTTTATCAAAACACTACTAAATCAGCAACTCATATACTAAATATATACACTTTTATTTATATCACATGTGTAATTTACAATTACAAATAGCATGCTAATTAATTTTAAAATTGTTTATTTATTTTTATAATTATAATTAATTTACCACTCAATCCTGTTTCTTCTAATGCCCTGGTTTCTTTTATAAATAGGTTTATAAAAGAAACCTATTTATAGAAGAATAGGGTATGAGATCAATTCCTTGAACCATTAAGATTTGTATGCATTATATGAAAAGTTATTGAGGGTATATTTACAGCTTGAGCATCCAGAATGTATTGATGGTTTGTTTCTTGTGAATCCTACATGCACGGTTTCCAGCTGGACTGAATGGGGCTATCAAAAACTGAATGCAATGCATTTACGTTCGTCTGGAATGACTGCTTCTTGTTTAGATTACTTGATGTGGCACCACTTTGGAAGAGTAACTTTCTTTTTTTTTGATCTTTATATTATTATTCCAGAGGACTCATAGGAATTATTAACTGGCATTGATAATTTTTATTTGAGTGAGAAAAAAAAAATCTAGCCAAATTGACGAATTTTCAGCAAGTCCAAGTAGCATACATTGTAAAAAAGATATCTCTAAAATTTAGCTTTAAACTTAATAAGATATTGTAGAGAATTATTTTATTTGATAGCCTTCGTCCGAGCAGCCGACCCAATTTTTGGATTTACTACTACTAATGTTCAACTCCATAGCCTTGTAATTTTGAAGACAAGGAAACTCCTCGATCAAGTATTGGGAGAAATTTATCTCTGTGGAGGACTTTTTGATGGAACTAACCTACATTTGGGTTACATGGTGAGAGAAACCACGAAAACCTCCCACAGCCTGACACCGTTGAACTGCCCACCCAATTTTTGGGTGTACGACGACTACTGATGTTCAACTCCGTAGCTTTGTAATTTTGAATCCAATCCAGAAGACAGGGGAACTCCTGAATCAAGTATTGAGAGAAATTTGTCTTAGTGGAGAACTTTTTCATGGAATTAACCCGCTTTTGCGTTCTATGGTGAGGGAAACTACGAGAACATTCCACGGTTAGCTTGACGGCAAGGCAACTCTAACCCATGATCTGTCTACCAGTGAGGATACTTTACGTCAGCACTGTGGTCAGTGCAAGCTGAATGCAGAATTTGTATCGACCAGTCATTACTGGGATAAAATGAACGCTCTTTACTCTGAACCATTGTAGCGAAATATTCTACAACATAAAAATGAACACTAATTTCAATATTGATCGACATCCGAACAAAAAGATATTGTTTGATAGTTGTGAAATGCTCCGACAATTACAAACGCTTCAGAATATCATCAACACAATATTCACAAAATGAATGCTATTGAATGCTGGTCTTTATCACCATTGTGTTATTTGTTTTAAAAAAATTAGCTCTTGGAAAATTTTTCAAGCTTGTTTGTAAAAGAGAGAAACTGTTAATAAAACAATTTCTAGCTTATTTGAAAATATAAAAGTTATTTAATGAAAGAAAATCATTTAGCAGATTCTAATTTAAGTATATTAAACTCGAACTATTTTGAATACTTAAAAGTAGGCAGGTTTAGTAGTTAAAAGCATTATTTGACAAACCCAATAGAAATTTATATATAGAGGCTGCCTTAGCCTAGGTTATATTTATGTTTGCTTTGCCATGAGTATACTTCTGAGTACCCTTAAAAAGCAAGTATCCTTAAAAATGTTTAAATTAAAAAACATTATTGGGAGTTTTAATGTTCATTTGTATATTCTAGCTTTTGGAAGAAAGAAGTCATGATTTAATTTCAATATATCGTCAATACTTCAACACTTCAGTGAATGCCTATAATCTTTCACTCTTTATTGATTCTTTTATCAAGTATGTACATTTCCTTTATTCTTTTATAAACAAAAATTAATAGTTTGATTTCATATTTAAACGTACCTGCCAACTGCTATGGAATTTCTGCAGTTTTTGAAAATATTTTTCCTAGTGGTGTTAATGCAAAGTAATGTTTTTAATAAATTAGAATTAAAAGAATTTTTTTTAACTACTATATACAAATAATTGAAACAAAAGTCAAAAAAGAAAAGTTCTGATTAAAGCTTTATAAAAAAATATTTTCATTTTTGAATTTTTTGCTTAAGTTTACTCTAGTAGAAGTCTCAAACTTCAAATGTTAGGGATATGTATTTATATTAAGCTACATTTCAGCAACAAAGTGTTGAGTGTAGATGACTTAGTGGTTCAAAAATTTTTTAGTTTAATAAGAATTGAGTATTTCTCTGGGCTCTGTTTTTTACTGTAAATTATTAGAAGGAATTATGCCTTGCTTATAACATTTCTGCACATGGTCTGAAATTTTTCTGTTTTTAGTAATATCTCTTTATGCAAAATTTTAGTTGTAGGCACAATTTATGGTGACTGACTTAAAAATCACAATCTTGCTATTTTTTATAGTTTTATTTGTTATAATTATAGTTGTCCCACAGTGGACCAATCATAAAGACTTGATTCCCAGTAGAACATCTAAGTCGAGTATCACTGGCTGACAGTCAGTAAGTAGGTGGGTGACCACTTTGATCAGCCTGCGTAGGGGCCCGTGATATCGGTCCTCGTTAGACTGATCTACTGTGAAGGGCTTAGGAATGTTTCCTAGACCAACTCCAAAAAGCCCATTGTGCAGCTCTAGTGTGACGTAAATAAAGTACCTATAATTATAGTTATAAATCCAATATTGTGATATGTATCTTCATGTTTTTAAAATCCAATATCACGATTCTTGTTAGAAGTAAGTTTTTTTCTTGTATTAGTTACTCTAACTGTGTGATATTCTGCATTAGTAGGTAATTTAATTGTAAATGTTAGTTCAAAAAGTTATGTTAAATATGAAACATGTTTGGTATATAAATTGATATTGATTTTTTGCACAGAAAATTTTCAGGGTTTTTTCAATTTGGGACACAATTACCCTTGACCCTGTTATATAGGAAGAGTGAGAGCATTTAAGAAAAATCAGTTTTTAAATGTATTGAAGCATTAGGATTATAAATTAAAGTTAGAAGCAAAATTACCTGCCATTTTTAACAATGGCCTTTTTTTTAAATTTAAAATTCTTAACTATTAAAAAAAAAGGCTATTGATATTACATCGGAACCAATGCAATTAGGTTACAAGAACAAAGAACAATGTTTAGGAAAAATATTGATTATGAATATTTTATGTAGAATACTAAACAGTAAGTTAGATTTTAAGAGATACGACTACCTTCAGTAAATAAGAGCACCTTTTCATTAATAGTCTGAATTGCCTTGTATTTTAAAGTTTGAAAAATTACTTATTAATGTAAAAGTTATTTTGCATAGTTCAATCTTTTTTTTAACTGAAATAAAGTTTTGAAATTTCAGAAGTATGACTAAATTTTAAATATAAAATTATTATTATTTTTGTATAAAACAGAATAAATACAAATAAAAAGCTAAAAAAATATTATATCAAAAAATTTTCACCTACAAAATTACATTTTTGGTTTAAGTAAAATAGTTTTGAAATTTTTTGTTTAAAAAATTTAGAAATTAAATTTATAGTTTTATTAACGTTTATAATAGTAGTTTTTATAGTTTAGTATAGTTTTTTGTCTTTTATATTAAATTTACAAACTCAATGTAAATTAATAAAACCTATTTAAAAACTTTGTTTCAACAAATTTCCAAAATTGTAATAGTTTTAAAAACTGAGTTATTTAACCTTTTCAAAGGTAAATACCCACTAGGTATTTATCCGACCCACATCTGTAACTATATTTAAATAATTTAAACATACTTATATCAGATTATTTTATTGTGTTGTACTTGTTGGCCAAATTTGAATTAAATGTCTGCTTACAGTGTCACATTTCACTACCACTAGGAAAACAATTTATAAAAATGTAAAAGTTGACAGGTGTGATTTTATAAAATTTTGAGTAGAATATTCTCTACAAATCTTCTAATTTCAGATATAAAATTCATTCAGATGTATATAAGCTTCCTGTAAATAATAAATGTTTTTTGTTACTTCTTTTATAGGCGCACAGATCTTGGAATCATTCGTGAAATGGATCCAGTTAAGAAGAAGGCAGCAAAAAATTTTAAGTAATGAATTTTAGTTTACCTACAATTAAGTGTACAGTGTTGTAGTGTGAAGCTGTGGTGTTTAGGGAAAAACTGATAAAAATTCCCTAATTGAAGAAGGCAAATTGGTAGCTCCTTCTAAAAAATAATCAAAATATCGATAGTTTTCTTTAATTCTTTGTTGTCTGTCATAGCTTAAGATCTTTGTTCATTTTTTTTAAAAGTGAAACCTTCGAATCTTATAGAGATACAGACGTGGTTTTAATAATTTCCTCTAAATTTTATTTATTTATTTATTTTTTTAATTTTTAATTTTATCTATGAATGCAGAAAATGTTGGATCCTTTTCTTAAATATGAAACCTTCAAATTTTTTGATTGAGATCGCCATGTTTCGTAATCTTTGTAACTGCTTTTTTTAATTTGTAATTGAGTAAATTGTTAGCCTTTTATTTATTTATTTCTTTTTTTCCAAAGTAAAAAAAAAAAAAAAAAAATTCATTGTGAATTTTTTAAAATTGTGAACGAGTAAAGAGTTAACTAATTTTTAACAGAGTGAAACCTTCTAAACCTTTCATTGATATAGCTGCTATTTTTATAATTTCCTCCAAATCTTTTTTATTTATTTTTTTATCTGTTTTTATCAATGTTTGTTATCTGAATTTTTATCAATGAATTGTATCTCAGACAAATCAGTTATGAAACTGACTTGTCTGAGGAGATATGTGTCTCTAAACATCTTTAAGAATGTTTTCTAGTCAATGAATTTTTAAAAATATATACAGTGAAACCCCGATTTTACGTTTCTCAGGGGACTGGGTAAAAAAAACGTAAAATCCGGGAAAACGTAAAATACGGGANTATAGGAAACACTTTATGGTATTTGGGGAAACAATGCACAATCTAGGGAATATTTGATCAAAATTCCCTAATTACTGCTAAGAAACTGACTTGCCTGTGAAGAAATGTGTCCCTAAACATCATTAAGATTGTTTCCTAGTCAATGGATTTTTTAAAAAAAAAAGTATTTGTAATGTTTTCAGGAGTTTGTCCAGGGCAGATTTACTACCGTTTAGTGGTATGTTCACAAATTCAACTTTAGGAAAAATGGTAGTTTCACAAAATACTTTTTAGAAAGCATGCTCTAAAATTCTCCTCCCTGCCTCTTAAAATTTTGCTCTTGTATTCCCGTAAGAGGCAATAAATCCGAGGTTAATTCCGCTTATACGAATAGGTAGCACATGCTCGGTCAGAGAGTGCGGTGTAGTAGCCTAACCGGCTGCTTATGTAATATTATAGCCAGGATTTTTTCACAGAGATTTTTAAATTAAAAGCAGAGGCGTTCTCTCTGTACATTGTACAGGAAGTTGAAATTCGAACATTAAATATTTAAACATTGTTCTAAAGTTATTTAAACAGATCTTTATTTTTTTAATAAAAATTTTTTTTTTCTGTGAAACTTTTTTCAAATATGACCACTTGAAAAATGTTCTCATAATGAAAATAACTTTTAGCACAAGTACTGTTAAATGCATGTTTTTTTTTAAAAAAAATTCAAATTGAAATTTAACATAGGACAGTGATTTTTATGGATTTTTCAATTTGGATAAAATTTTTAACCCAAACTTTTACAATAGCAAAATTATTTTTGAATATATGGGGAAAAATATATGAAAATTTACCATATTTTTGTATTCTTTTTTTAATATAATTTTGATTTTAACAAATTATGTCTAAAATTTTCACAAAGTAGGTACCTCTCATAAAAACATTGGTACATATCCTTTGGTATTTTAGTTCACCTACAAGGAAACACTTTGGAGAATGCTATTTGGAGAAACAATTCACTATCCAGGGAAAATTTCATAAAACTTCTCCCATTAGTGCCAGAAAACTGATTTGTTTGAAAAGATATTTGTCCTTAAATATCAATTATAATGTTTTACTGTTAATTTATTATTTTTTAAATAATAGTAAGAAAAACAGTTATATTTAACGAAAATATTTTTTTTATAGATGCCACGTCTTACTACTTGCTGGTGATTTATCTCCTCACCTTGAAGACTCTGTAACTATGAACAGCCGACTTGATCCAACTAATTCAACTTGGATGAAGGTTTATTTTAAATGTTCTTTTAATCACAATTTCTTATATTTTATTTATTTTATAACTGTTGTTGAACAGCGCACCCAATCTTTTGGGTTTACGACTACTCATGTTCAACTTTGTAGCCTTGTGATTTTGAACGCAATCCAGAAAACCTCCTGGATTAAGTATTGGGAAAAATTTTGCCTTCGTGGAGGACTTTTGATGGAACTAACCCTCATTTGCGTAACATGGAGAGGAAAACCTCTCTATGTTACCTGATGGCAAGAGGATACTACTGAGGATATTTTACATCAACAATGTTGTCAGTGAGTGTCAGATACGGAATTTGTATTGACCAGCCATTGCTGGGATTCAAAGCTAGTTTACCTCGCTCTATCCCCTGAGCCACATCGGCTCAATTTCTTATATTGTAATAAATTCCTTTTTTTCCTAAGTATAATTTTTTGAAAATCGATACGAATTCCACATCCGGCTTGCACCGACCACACAGCCGACGTTAAATATCCTCAGTGGTTGGCGGATCATGGGTTAGAGATACTTTCTTGTCAGGCTGACCGTGAGAGGTTCTCGGGATCTTCCTCTCCATTTAACGCAAATATGTGTTAGTTCCATCAACACGTTCTCCACAAAGGCAAAATGTCTCCCAATACTAAATCCAAGTGTTCTCTTGTCTTCTGGATAGGATTCAAAATTACAAGGCTATGTGGTTGAACATTAGTAATACTAAACCCAAAATTTGGGTCGGATGTTCAACAACGGTTATAAAATATAAAATAAAAAGTAGTAATATGCACTCTCTCTCTTTCAACTCTTTACAAGGCCCTGTAAAGTGTACTTCCCACCAACTTCTTTAATTTTGTTCAACAGAAAACTATTTTCCCTCCTATGATTTTACTGTTATCAACTGATAACTTAAGAATAAAAGAAAAAGGAAAATTCGATTAAGGGCTCTGTTTGCATAAATCTGGCTAACAGTAAATCTTTTATTGGGTCAGAAAGAGGAGCTATTTTCTCTTGTGTGTTAATATCCTTCAATTGATCATTTTTTGTCAAATTAATTGTAATTATAAACATCACATTTATATATTTAATTACTTAGAAGTGTAGAAATAGTAGTGTTTGGTTGCAGTATGTAAAATTTATAAAATATAACCCACCTACTCACTAAAAAGACGAAGAAAAAAAATAACGGTCTTATGAATCAACTGAATATTAAGTAATTAGTTAATTGAATTGCTTTCATAAATCATTCCATAAATTTTTTACCTGCAATTATTTGAAAAAAGGGACCCTATATTTGCAAGTAAAAAATCATATTTCAACCTCCATGTTTTCTTTCATACCAAGCCAGAAAAGGAGTACTTCATGGCAAGGCAAAGGCTATTGTGAACACTTGATTAAGTATAGAATTTTTTGTTATTTTTCGCTAAGAAAATTATAATTAAAAAATATAGAAGTACATTATACAACTTCACATACACAAAGCCCATTTTCTGACAACTTCAAGAAAGATTTTTAAAAATAATTTCTTCTTAAATAATAGTGATGTTCAACATCTGCAACAAAATTTAGTATAGGTTTTTTGGCATAATATCAACAATTCAAGGAAACTTTTTGATTAAAACTATGACTTACGAAAAATGTGTTTAATTGTGTTTAAGCATCATCTACATTGCTTCCTTTATAAAGGATTCCTTCCTTTATATGCTTTTTATTTTTTTGCCATGATACAGAAAAAAAAATGGAAGAAACTAAAATTGAACAATATATAATATAGAAGTGGCTTAAATTTAAACAAGCTAAATTTAATAGTAACCAGTAAGTTAAAAGTTTTTCACATATACTTTTTTTTTGTTGAAAAAAATACGATTTTGTTTTGTTTGTTTTATGCATTTGTTTTCATATAGTTAATTTAGTTTTATGTGAAATTTTAAGATCTTTATGTCATATGTTATGAATATGTTATAAAACTTAGTATACTATTTATGAGTGTGAATTCAATGTGCAGTTAGTAGTAGTGTATCTGTTAAGTATGTGATTTGTTTTATGAAATAGTATTAATTTTTAAAAATTAATTGTGATATTTGATAATTCTTTTAATAATTATGAAGCACTCATTTACATAAAATATTAAAAAACTACAATTATTTTTATTTCTTAAGAAAATTATTTAATTAATTTTGTTTTCCAATCTTCTCACTTATTTTAATGAACCTATTTTAGGCCCAGCATTGAAATTTTATAAAATGTGGTATTATTTTCATTGAAATATACTTGCAATACATTCATTAAGAATATATTTTATATGAGAAATAAAATGCTGCGTATAGGCACTATTCACCAAATTAATGAGCAAACCATTTAGTTGAACGCTTGTTTTTTTTATGAAATTTGTTTTATTATTTTTTTTATTTACTGACTTGCAACTTTAATCCATCATAAAAACATGTGACAGATCTCAAAAGGAATAATTATACATTTTCAAAAGATTTCATTTGCCAATAACCGTTTTAAGTTAAAAAAACTTTAATAGTTTAAAATTTCTCAACAGAATGTGTTCATTCAAATTCAATTAATAATAATTTATGGATGTCTTCAGAACACTTAAAAACAGCAGAAAAATAAAATTAGTGAGAAATATACGTCACAGTGTTGATAAAAAAATATTTATTGAAATGGTGCAAAATAATATTTATTGAAATGGTGCTTTTACGCACCTTTGGCCGAAAATGGGTTAGAATGCTAATTCGAATGCTAATTAATTAATTAATGCAGACGATATTTTAAGTTACGAAATTAGACCCAAAAACATACTTTATAGTTCCTGTGAAATCGAATTTTAAAAAAGGCAGCTATTTAAAATTCAAATTCTCACTATCAATTTTTCCGAGCATCAGTCGTAGATCTTATTAACCCTCGGCCACGGAGGCGTTGATCACTTAAATCACATTGACAGGCTTGCAAGGATTTGGGCTAATCAGATTCGAAAAATTTTCTGTGTAAGAACTTTGTTTCTTTACGTTAAAAGTAGTTGGCAGGTATCGCTACAAACTACTATTTTTTTGTGTCACACTATTCACTACACTACTTTTTTTTTTAAAAAAAGTAGCGCACTACAATACAAACTACATAAAAAAAGCAACTACAGTAGGTTTGCTACTTGTAGCGCATTACTTCTGATCACTGTGTCCATGGGTGCCGCTCTAAAAAAATTTCAATTTTGAACTTATTTTTTGACCAATTAATATGATCTAGCTTTGTTTACCGGAATTGTTAGAAATTTACAGTTCACTGACTCCAAAATGTATTAAAAATGTATATATATATCTTTCCATAATAATGGCACATATATTATATGAGTGATTTGATTATTCTTTTTTTATTTTATTAATTTATTTTTTCACAGCAAACAAAGTAAAAATAATAGTTAACCTTTTTGTACTAATCACTGGATAATAAACCATTAATTTTTTTCATGAAGCTATTCATGTATCTACTTTTTTTTGCTGCATTCTTTATTTCTTGTCCTATCTCTATAATTTTTTTTTTTAAATCTTAAATTTATTCAGCATTTCAAAATGTTAGGGGAAAATGAAAACTCATACAAATTTAGATACAACAATAGAGCGAATTTTGCTTAAGCAAGCATGCACTGGAGTTCAATCAATCAAATTCTTTCATTTGCAGTGCGACATCATTACTAGATCACTTAGCAAAAATTATGAAAAATGACAATGTTTTCATTAAAATGTTATATTTGTACAAAATTAAATAGAAAATGTTTGTATAAAAGTAACATTTTAAAGGAAAAAGGACATTTTAATTTAAAGAACAAATGAAAAAGAGATTAATTGATGAAATTTAGTCTCATGATTTTTTCTCAAGACTGATTTCAGTCCCCAGGACTGAAGATTGGCACCCATTCTTGTGTGTAACTCTTCTCTATCTTAATAAGGAGAAATAAAGCAATTTTTTTTTTTAGCTTTCAGGGTGTGGAATGGTGCTTGAGGAGGAACCAGCTAAGGTTAGCGAAGTTTTTAGATATTTCCTACAAGGACTTGGTTATGGTAAGATTTACCATTCTTTATTATTCAGTAGTTGGATAAACTACATTTTTTTGTTGTTAGCTGCCAGTTTGTCACAGGGTTGTTAGGTTTTTGACATGGTACAGTTTTACCTAGTTTTAACTATGGTTTTAACTGTCATGTCAAAAACTTGTTAAGGTATCCAAGCACCTTTGCCAACTTTAAAAAAAAAAAGAACGCAATAATTGAATTGTAGAACTGTATTGGTGACTGTACTGTTCTTTTTATTTTTTGATAGTAAAACATAGTAAATAATGCCATTATTTTAAACCTATCATTTTTTTAAAATTAAGTTATGAAACAAAATTCTGCCATTATGCTTATAATTACTGTGTCTTAAATAAGACGTGTAGCATTTTTGAAAAGTGCTTATTTTTGATTTATGTTTTACAAAAACCCTTAAAGGTGCTTTTTTTTTATTCGGGGTTAGTAAAAAGTGCTTAATTTTCTATCTTTTAAAAAGAGATTTTTTCTTTGCCGTGTTGACTGTTCTAAATTACAAAAAATGTATGATTTTCGTAATTTCCTCTGAATTATTTATCAGAAACTAGTTATTTTATTATAATAATGTAAAGTTTCTGAAAATGTTTCTAAATTTGATTGATTTTATGTTTATAAATTGAGAACTTTTTACGATAGAATGAAAGAATTTTTATTACTGCACAGATCCTAAGTCTGATTTTTTGGAAAGTGATTAAAATATTTTTTGAGTGCTTAAAAAGTATTTAAAAGGTACTTATTTTTTGTTGAAAATCTGGCTACGCAACCTGTTAAAAATAGACAAAAAATAAAGCTTTAAATTAGAGAAACTATTAGTTATCGCATTCTTATTGGCATAATATTAGAATTTTAAAAAAAGTACAGTTCTTATTACTCAAAAACTGTTCAAACTAACAAAACAAACAAATTACTCACTTAGGAAAATGATTTTAGTCTATCTTTGAAAGAATGTTATAAGAAAGGCACACGAAAAATTTCGAGACTTGAGGAGAAAAACTTTTTTATGAAAATCACAACCCAAAATTTGCAAAAATTCAAATCGTCAAAATATGTAAAGTAAAAACTTGTATTGAAAAACAACTTTAATGCAATAAATATGCATGTAAACCCAATCATTGATATTTCATTTATGCTATCCATGTTATAAAATTACGCTATCCAAATATGTTATCTATGTTATAAAAACATTATTTTCTTCTTTCTTACTTTATATTAACTCAAATAAAAATACATTTTTCAAATAAAAAAAAGGTGTTTTTATGAAAGAGATAATTATGTGAAATAAAAAATTAAAATATTTTTGTATCTCCAAATTTCGCTAATGCTCTTAAGTTTTTGCAATCAATGCACATCTTCTCTGTTATGCTAGATTTGTATGAAACACATTTCTTGTGTTTCATGCCTTGCTGTCCTATCACATAATCCAATCTAATGATCAGATTTTCAAGTGCTAACTGTTAGCATGTAATTTCAATTACTTCAGGAATTGACCTTAAATATTTTTTTTATTAATTTGTGCAGATGATTCTTAATCATAAATCATGTAAAAAAGCTTTTTTTTTTAACACTGAACATACCAACACTTAATATGTACCTATTTCTACCATAGCAGGTCAAATAACCGGACTTTATGTTTCTTGATTGAATGTTTGAAATATAGATGTTAAGAAGGAAATAAACTAAAAAAAAAAACGTATTGTAATTAAACAAAATTGCATATTGTCAATTTTTATGTATTACAAACACAAAGAGTAAGAAACTGATCCGATAACTTTATAAAGCAATAAATTGTTCTACTGGACATTCTCTACCAGATTGTGGTAGAAATAGGTATACGACAAGTATTATTCGAAATAAACAAAATATAAAAAAACATATATATATGTATTAATAATAGAATATTTACTGTATATAATTGTTCGAAAAAGTCATGAAGTCAAATGTGCAAAAAGGATAAGATTATAAGCTCATTTTCGATGCAAAAGTTCTTAAATGGTCATTTGACCAGTTATGGTATGTTTAGTGTTAAAGGAACATGTTTTCTTTATGATTTGTATTCTTGACTTTCAAAATATTTAGAGTGGATGCAATATTGAAAATATGATCCCTATAGTTCAGTCAAGAGACCAGACAAAACTGTATCCCTTATTGTTAATTTCAAGTTTTGTGTATTTCCTTATATTTACAAACTAATTTAGGAAAATAATTTATTAGTTTTTTTTGCATTTATTTGTAATACTCAAAACACCGAAGATAATTTCACAGAAAAAATAATTTTAATCATTTGCTTATTTAATAAGGATAATTTTTTTATTTATTACTATTATTATTATTTTATTTTATTAGATTTTAACTTTACACTGCTTTATACTTTGTAGCTTTAAATTACACTGAACTAAACTCAATGGCGCGACAGCCCATAGTGGGCCAAGGCCTTCTGTGCCCATCTTAGTTTTCTTGACCTTTTGCTCTGGGGTGCAAGAAAAGATGTTCCGGTCAGGTGGTCAACTGACCGGAGAAAATCATAAACTCATGAGAAATGATTGAATAGTTCTTTAGTTTTTGAGAATTAAAATTTTAAAATATTACTTTTTGAACTTGAATTGTTCAGAAATGTTTTGTATTATTTCAAACAAAGTTTGAGTTTTGTCACTTAGAATGAAATTGTTTAAAGTAGTATAAAAAATTTGTATAACACACTATGCAACAGCATATAAAATTAATATTAATGATTAAAAACTACTTTTCTTTTGTATTTTTTTTCTTTAAAAAAATTAGAGGTTTATAATATTGTACTAAATAATTTTGATTTGTGCTTAAACAGTTCCTGATATTTTGAAAAGTTAACACTAAGGGGTTCAAACTTTACACCTTTATCCTGATATATATCCTATTTTTCTCAGGTCTTTATTATTCAAAAATTTACAAGAATTACCCCATATTTTGAAGATAGAAAATCTGTCATAAAAAAAGATATATATATATATTAAAAATTATTCTTGAAAATTTTCCCCCTTCATATAAATTCACTTTAAATTTGCACCTCGCTTTATAGATTTTGTTTCATGTTTTGTTCTGTTTTTTCTTTACATTTTATTTTCTGTTTTTACATGATATATACTACTTAATGTATTCTATTCTATTTTATTTCAAAAATTTTTTTTTTTTTTTTAGTTCACCTCACACTATTGTATTGATATATTTTGCTTTGGCTATATTGATACAATACTAAAAATCACTCCTTCTTGCGGATGTAATCGCAGGGGTCTGTCTAGGTTTTTATGAGAGGTAACAATTTTGTGAAAATTTAGACATAATTTGTGATAATTAAAAATTATTTCATTAAATCAACTCGAAAATGTGGATTTATAGTTTCTTACGGGATACAAAAATAAAATTTTAAGAGAAAGTTTTTTGTGAAACTACCCTTTTTCCTAAAGTTAAATTTGTGAAGGTACCTCTAAACGATAGTAAATTTGGCCTGTACAGACCCCTGAATCTTATGAGCTGATGAAAAGATTATATATTTTTTTTCCGGATTTTTATTAATATATTTTTTTGGTGGATTTTTATTAATTTTTTTATTTTTAATTATTCTTTTTTCTTCTCTTTTTTCATTATTCTGTAATTTTATTTTGAACTTATTTTATGAGTTTTATATACTTGCAACTTAAGCCCAGTAAATAAAACTTATTGTTCTTAATTTTCTTTGTTTTTTTCTTCTTGTCCTTTCTGTATTTATTATTGTGCTCTCTCTCTCTATCTCTGTTTTTATATATATATATATATATATATATNAGGACTCAAGCACTTAAAAAGAGATTATATATATATACAGAGCATTATATTTCTGTTGCCTATGCATTCTGATATTTGCATATATATATTATTAAATTCCTTAAACTGGGTAAGTTTAACAAAACAGTAAGTAAGTTAACAAATAAGTAACAGTAAGTTAACAAAATCCCTATTGAAATGGAATATTTGCACAGTTGCGTGCTTGAATAGTTAAATAAGTATTACAAATACACAATGAAGCAAGCATCATTTATAAAAATCAGTTTAAAACTTTTTTGTTGTTGTTTTTCTTAAATGTTGAGTTTAGTTTTATTCAGAACTACTTTTTTAAATTAATTAAAAAAATCTTTTAATTATCTTTGATGAATTATATGCCTATTAATATTCAAAATTATGACTGAGCATAATAAATAACATTTCAAATTCATTTAATGTCAATTATAACTCTAAAATATTCCAGACCTTTTAAAGATATAAGTTTAATTAAGTTTTTGTATTTTGATGTCCAACATGTCCTTAAAATTCCCTGTATGTCAAATATTTAATGTATGCAAGAATTATTATGAAATTGATATTATTTCATTAACTCCTTCATATTGGCAGCTATGTATTTACACATACAGTCGAACCACGTTAGCGTGAAATCAAAGGGACTAACATAATTATTTCATGTTTACCGAATTTTGTTTCATTCGATACATCATGAAAACAATTTTTGCTTATTATTCGTACATGTTATGTACTACATTAATGTATGCAAACAATATTATTATGAACCGAACAAATTAAAATAAGCTTATAAGTTTTAACTACTTTGTTAAACTACTTTATTTATTTGTCCATGTGCTACTTCTAACTAAGGAAGAGAATAGAATGAATGATTGGGATTTTATTTACACGCTTATTATCTGTGCCTCTCATGTTAACCAATAATCCAACATGTGTTTCGTGTAAAGCAATATTTCACGTTAAGCTGTTTCGGGTTAATGATATTCGACTGTATATATATATTATATCAGTGTAATTCAATGAAAATTTATATTCGGTATATTTTTGCCAAAAATTTGAAATCTGTTTCTTAATTTCAGCACTGAATCAGTATCGGCGCAAATCTTCAGCTGCTTCATCTCTCAGTTGCGAAGGTAATATTACGAACGCCTGTTGAAAAATTTCCTTCATTTGTAAGTCTTCAGCTATTTTAATAGTCAAAAATAGTTAAGTAGTAGCTTAGTGTAGAATTTATGTAAATGACCTCAATTTTAAATGCATTTTTATCACTTAAGAAATCTACAAAATAATAATATGTGGACAAGTGTCAAGTTATGTAACATATTTAGAAATTGTTTTTGTAATGATGAGGAAAGTCAAAGAGAGTTTTAGCATAGATGATAAAGAAAGTATCTTGTCATATGACTAGCTCAAAGTAAATATTATTTTTGTCTTAAATTAGTATTATGTTTAACTTCTTAAATCCAGGTAGCTCGTACCTAAAACCTAAAAAAAAACCTTAAAAAGAAAAGAAAAAACACATTTTAACTCCTAAAAAAGAAAAAGATGTATCTAAATTAAATCTAAACTTGTAGAAGTTTAAACTTGTCTAGTCTAAACTTGTTGTGTGTCTTCTGAGCCGGGCTCGGTGAGATTATTGCACTCACATGTGCAACTCTACTGCTTTTTGCAAGATATTCTCAATTTCAGGCTTCATTTTCCACCCTCTCATATCGAACCGACAAATCTCTCCATCATTTTATAATGGCTAATATAATCGAGAAAAGAGTTCTTTGTCAGAAATTTAAAAATATTTTTTGAGAGCGTAAAAAGTTCTTAAAAGGTTCTTAATTTTTGTTGAAAGATTTATCTACGTACTCTGCTCTAAAAACCTTAAAAAAAAAAACAAGAAACGTTCCAACTCCTAAAGATTTAGCTACGTACTCTGCTCTAAAAACCTAAAAAAAAAAAATCAAAAAACAAGAAGCATTCCAACTCCTGAAGAGAAAAAATTGATATTTAAAATGTAAACTTGTTGAAATTTTCACGCCACATTACTATCATATCAAACCATACGATTTAAAACTATAAGGAGATCCTTAGCAATAACTGAAAAAAATAATGAATTCAAGTTTTTAGTGAAATTGTTTCAAATTCAATGTGCATTAGAGTAACTTCTGAAATGGGCAGTGGTATTAAAAGTCCAGAGTTTAAAAGTTGGTAAAAATTACTACCAAATCCGCTCATCTGCGTGATTAGGTAATCGAATCTGCAACACAAAATTCGTGTATTGTAATAATTTTTTTCCCACTGCCCACCCATGTATTAACATTTCATTTATCAGGTATCAAAAGTGCAGATGTGTTAATCACTCTTTCAGGAGGCACTATGTTAAATGGGCCAATGTTACCCTCATAATTAAAAGGGCAGATAACAGGGCCTCCGGGCACAAAAATGTTTTGGGCCCTTATAACATGTTATACTATTTAAAATGAAAAAAATTTTTCTCTCGCATAAAGTATAGCATTTTTAAGATATGATATAATTTTAGCAAATTTGAACACATTTTTATTGCCCCAAAAGCTCCATGAACATAAAATAACAGGGATCTGTCCAGGCCGAATTTACTACCGTTTAGCGGTACCTTCACGAATTCAACTTTAGGAAAAACGGTAGTTTCACAAATTCAATTTTAGAAAAACGGTAGTTTCACAAATCATTTTTTCTTAAAATTTCATTTTTGTACCCCTTAAGAAGCGATAAATACATATTTTTGTGTTGATTTTTAAATATAATTTTTAATTTTTCACAAATTATGTCTAAATTTTCACGAAATAGGTACCTCTCAGAAAAACCTAGACAGACCCCTGAATAAGGCATTTTTAAACTGCATAATTTTAAAAAAAATTAGAGATGCTAGCCAGTTGAAATCCTCAAGTAATAAAAAAATTTTCAAATCCTAGAAGCTAATTAAAATAAATAAAATAAAATACACACTTTTTACACTAGAATATATTTATTTTAAAATATATATAACACAATGTTGTTTATTCTTAGTTTTTTAAATACAATTTATAAAAAGTAAGATTCTCAAGTGTCCCCTGAGGGCTTGGGGCCACTGCCCTGGTGTGCCCATGCGGAAGAACAAGCCATGCCTTCTGACATGAGGTCAGTTCACTGACCACCATTAGAATGTTAAGTGATGATATTATACCCGTTAAAAGTATCAAGTTTTTAAGACATGCAAGAATTAGTTGTTATAATTGACAATAAAGGAATCAAGAAGACTATATGGATTGAATAAACAGGACTCAAGCACTTAAAAAGAGATTACTGAATGGGCTGATTAAATGAATAGAAATTATTTGTAATAAAATATTGTAAACCACATAGGAATTCATAAAATAACTAGACCAATAAATGATGGAAAAGCCACCCAGTTTTTTGAAGTTATGACTTCAGCTCTATTTCTTTATGTGAGATATCTAATAACTCCTCTTGTAAAGACATGGTTTCCAGTAGAACACCAAAGTCAAGCATCACTGGCTGCGATCAGTAAGCGGATAGGTGACCTCTTTGATCAGCCTGCGTAAGAACCGGGGGTGCACAGTATCAGTCCTCCCTAAACTGTTTTACCGTAAAGTGTTCGACTTTGCATGCAGGTGGTCGGGCTACCAAAGCAGGGAAGCCACCTCTTCTGCAGAGAATCAAAATTGTGATGGCATGTTTTCGGATCATCCTCAAAGATGTTTCCCAGACCGTCGCCAATGGCCCATTGTGCAGCTCTAGTGCGACGTACATAAAATACCTACCTAAGAACCCCTCCATAAATGATGTCCCACTTGAAAGAAAGGGAAGGGGATAGTGACAAAGGAAAGGGAGCACTGATAAGTGTGACATCATATATTTTGATTAAAATTAACTCATTTAAAATCCTACGATTATGTATATTTATGCCAATAGTTTATAAGGTAGAGAACCATTTATCCGATATCCAGAAGAATTTTGCTTGATTTTCCGGCTATTTTGAAGTATAACGATTATTAAAAAACTCGGAAATTTGACTCATCCTTGAAGTTGAGTAGAGGGAAAAGGGGAAATTTCAATTTTTCCCTTGACCTTGAAGATTATTAGACCCAGAGAGGGCAGGGAAGAAACAAATGTTTTATTTTCTCCTGTTTGTTGGTTGTTTTTCTGACAAGCTGCCATCAATCAAACTTAAAAGAAGTGGCATGCTGATTTCGTTTTCTCTTTGATTTACGAGGGGGTGAGGAAAATACATTGCACACGCAATGTATTTTTTTTTTAATGAGGAAAATACATTGCACACGCATGTCAATGAATGTCCCAGTTAAGGAAATAAGTTTTAAATCCAATTCAATTACTCAGTTTTTGTTATCCTTGATTTATTATGATGAATTGTTTTATTATTTCAGATAATGCATTATTTATTTGAACAAAGCGTTTTTTAATCACAAGTTATATTCATTTATTTGACATCGATTAACAAAACAATATATATTTTTTGAATAAATTCTGATTTTTTGAAATGAGGTATCATTAGCAAGTTTTTCTTGATGTGGAATCGCATCTGCTTTCGTTAAAAATAGTCTTTTTGTGAAAAATAAAATAAAAGGAGAAGATTGTTTATTAATTTAACCATATAATTATTTGTTAATAAAAGCAGACGATTATTTTATGAAGCAGATTGCAGTTTTCTTTTTCTAATTTTGATTCTGTTTTTCTGATTCCACTGTGTTTGACTTTTCTTTTTAAGATAAATTTTGTACTCAATAAATTAATTCTTTTTATTCATAAGTTTTATCAAAATTTTTTTTTTTTTAAAATTCCATTGATCTCATAATATCCTGCCTTGTTCCTGGTTTTAATATTTATGTTAGTGCCTTTATAAAATATTGTTTCCGTTTGATAATTTTCAAGTGTTGTTTTTATTTAGATTAATAAGTTTTCCTTTTATTGCCCCCCCATATAATTAGGTATAATATATTGCATTTTTAAATTATTGGTTTTGTTTTATATTAGTTAATTTGGGGATTTTAATTATTATCAAAAAATAAATATGCAAATTTTGTATTTTTTAAACTTGTTTTTCTTGTCTAAACTTGCAAATGATTTTATCCTTTTAAATGTTATTATTCTACCATTTTTTTTTGTTCAAAGTTCAGGAGATCTTATCATTTTTTTTCTTATTTTAAAAATTGTTTAACTTTTACCTTGTAATTTGGGTTTGATAAAACATCGATTAACGGCACTTTTGGCCAATCCAGAAAACCAGGAAATTCAGACATCCGGGATAGCGATGGTCCTGAGTATCCCATTTAATTGGTTCTCTACTGTATATTTTTCTTTAAATTAAGTACACATTTAATCTTTATGGTTGTTATGTTCACAAATGCCATCAAAACACATAGTTAAAAGTTTAAAAATAAAACATAAAATATGATCTATAACGTTTCTTTTATTTATAAACTGCTAGCATATGTTTACGTAATGTATCATGGCAGGTGAGATGAAGTTCTTTCCAAAGAAGAGGAACTGTGTCAAAAATATTGTGTCGTCATTTAATTACAGCTCCAAAAAGTTAGAATTTAAATCCCTGAGCAATCATGATTTTTGAGGTTAAATATAAAACAAAAGTGAGGTTTGTGATATAAAACAAAATTTTCTTCAAAAAGTTTAGTTTAAAAACTTAAAGTTTAAAAAAAATTTAAGTTTCAATGAAATAAATCAGTTAATAAATGTAATACTAAATCAGTATTTTTGTATTACTGTTAATTATTTCTAGGAGATGAACCTATGTCATTTTTGTTGTTGTGGCTCTTACACCTATTACTGCATTCACCCATTTAGAAAATCAAATATAGTTTTTGAAGGAAAAGGAATGATCACCCTTAAAATTAAATTTCCTCTTAAAAAATGATCATTCTGCAGTGTTGAGGGAAAATTTCTTTTGAGGTAATGCTTACCTTTGTTTTAAAACCTAGTATCAACAACGGAGAACCAAATTTTATGAAAATTGTTCTTAGTTGCCTAACAACAGAAAATAACTATTCGGACAAATGTGCATGTATTTAGATATTTTTGATTATGCATCTCAATAAAAATTTTCAATTGTGCATGTTGATAAAGATGAAAATTTTGTTATTTATTTGTTTTGGTGTATTTCTTAACTGTGCAATGCTAAAATGTTTAAGAGGCAAACTATTTTTTTTGTCATGTCATTTTATTATGCAACTTTTGATTCAATTCAAATCATGCATTTCTCTAAGTTCTACTTTTATTTGAAATGCTGTTTATCATGAATGCTTAAGATTAAAGATATCTTTATTATCTGTTATCAATATTCTTGGTTAGTTTCTTTTATAAAAAATTGCTTCTTATATTTCTGCCTGCTCCACTCTGCAGCACCCATGATTGCTTTTCATTCATAGTTCTTTTTTCCTTAAAAGCCAATATTCTTTTTATAAAAAAAAATTATAAAGCTTCTCGGTATCCAACTGGAACATTGGCCATTCAGGACATTATGAATCAAGAATTTTAAAACGTGAAAATTCTGAAACATTTGCGTATGTAAACCATAAAGCAAATTTTCAAACAATAGCAAGTATTAAGAGGGATATTTTTATTATTGTATCTAAAAACAAACAAAAAATATTTTAAAGATTACACATTTTTCTATTAGTTCAGTCCTTAAATATTTGAAAAAGATACTTAGAGTGCATAGCGTTTTTGAAAAGTGCTTAAAGGCACTAATTTTTGATTTAAATTTTCTAAAAGCCCTTAAAGGTGCTTTTTTTATTCAGTGTTTGTAAAAAGAGCTCAATTTTCTATGTGTTTAAAAAGAGATTTTTTTTTGCCTTGTCGATTGTCATTCAAAATTACAAAAAATGCATGATTTTCACAATTTTGTCTGCAATATTTATCAGAAACTAGTTATTTTATCATGATTATGTAAAGTTTTTGAAAATGTTTTTGAATTTTATTCATTTTATGTTTATATATTAAGAATTTTAAACCATAGAAAGAAAAAAAAAATTACTGCACAGATCCTAATTCTGATTTTTTGGGAAGTGATTAAAAATATTTTTTGAGTGCTTAAAAAGTATTTAAAAGGTGCTTATTTTTTGTTGAAAAAGCTAGCTACGCACCCTGTTAAATTTTCTTATATCCCAATTATAAGTTATCTCGCTTTATGCATTTTTTAATGAGATGAAGAGCGTAAAATTGAGGCATTGCAGGGTTGCCACAGGTGACTAAAATGCAATTATTTGCAACTATTTTTGGCATGATGCGACTATGGCAACTTTTTTTGCCTGAAAAGGCAACCCTTTTCAGGAAAAGGAGACTATTGGGAGACTTTTCTGTACTCCTAGCGATTTTTTTTTAAAGAAAAAGCTGCATAAATTGGGTGGAAAATCTGCACCCCACAAGATAGTTTCTGAACACACTGAACTTTTTTTTTCTTAAAAAATTAAGTTTTTGGAAAATTTTGAATTGCAAATTTGAGTCTTCACTTTTTAATTTGATCAATCTGCAGATTCCATTGTTAGTCTTTTTCATTTATCGACCACCTTTTTAATGATTATTGCTGCGAAATTCTGCATGATTTGAAAAAAAAACATTTAATATGATATTACTATGCATAAATTTCGAATTTGATTAATCACTTTTCATATATATATATACATACATGAATGAACATTAACGTTTATATAAAAATTATCATAAAATTGTCACCAACTTGACTGAATGGTTCATGGTATATGACAATTAAGTCATTAACAAAATTTTAGTCAAATTTTTGTTCTTATTTTGGCAACTATTTTCTTAGTTTTTGGCTACTATTTTCATGCTTTAGGCTACTAAAAGCAACTATTTTGTTCATTTTTTTCCGTGGCAATCCTGCATTTGTATTTGACAATTATCGGAATTTTTACGTAACTAAGTCTTTCTTTTATTTTACAGCTATATCACCTGTAAAAGCTAAGCCAACACATTCCGAAGACAGCTCAGCAATGAAATTAGAAGTGCACATTGTCGAAAATCCCATCAGCAAAATGGACGTACAGTGCTGAGTGTTGTAGCATTTAAATCTATTTACAAGAACATTTATTATATTGAGCATTTATAATTTAAACGAAACTATTGCATTGCTCTTGTTTTATTAAATCAGATTAATACATATTTATATATATACGTATGTACAGTATACTCTCAATATCTTAAAGTTGTAGAAACGATACGAAAATTTCGAGATAACAAGTTCAGAACTAAATATGTTCTAAAACATGGTGCGTAGCATTTTTAAAAAGTGCTTCAAGATGTTTATGTTCCATTTTTGTTATTTAAAAGCCCTTAAAGGTGCTTTTTTTATTGAGTGTTTTTAAAAAGTGTTTAATTTTCCATTTCCGAAAATGAGATTTTTTTCTTTATCATTTCGGTTTTCGGCACGTATTATGCAAAAGCGTGCTTTTTACATTGTTCTATTCAACGTTTTTGGAATTCATTCGAAAACGATGTCTTTTGGCATACTGTCGATCTGTAGCGTATGAAAGCGCCAATCATTTTACATGTTTGATTAAAAACTTACGGGTCCGCATGTGCATATATTGAACTGGGTTCGGTGAGATTCTTGTATTCTCATGTGCAACTCTGCTACATTTGCGCAGATATTCTCTATTTCAGGCTTCATTTTCCACACTCTGAAATGTAACCGAAAACTCTCTCTATCTTTTTATGGTGGCTAATGTAATCAAGAAAAAGAGTTCTTAGTCAGAAACTAGTTATTTTATCATGTAAAGTCTGAAAATTATTTTGCATTTTGTTAATGTATATAGTGCTTAATATTTTTTGAGTACTTAAAAAGAACTTAAAATATGCTTATTTTTTGTTGAAAGATTTGGCTACACACTCTGTAAAAAGTAGAAAGAAATATTCTAAAATATGACTCTTAAAACATAAGAAGTCATAAAACATAAGAATAACTTGTAATAAATATGCATATAATGATAGCTGATTATAAGTCTAAATACAACAACGATAATTTTAATTTTTAATAGTAAGACAAAAATAATTATGCATTAAATAGAAAAGAATTAGAGCACAATAAACTTATATTGTGGTATTTCCACAAAAGTTCTTTTTCTATTTTGAAAAAAATTTGGACAAAATAAGGTATTGTGAAAAAACTCTTTGACATAGGCATTTAAATTTATATTAGGTGGATATGTAATTCCTAGGAGTAAAATATTTTTTCGACGTAACAAGGTTTTCGAGATATCAAAGTTTGAGATATTGAGAGTTTACTGTGTATATATATGCATGTTGGTTTTTTGCTTTTTGAAATTATGTTTTTATATATTTTGTTTAATGCCTTATTGATAAAGAAAATGAAAATTTCTGTGCAATTTAAATGTTTTTATTTAAATACTTAAAGGTGAAGGTATATTACGTTTGTAAAATATCTCAGTTGTAACTAAGTTGTTTTTAGACAATTTATTCAGGAAACCTTGACTGGACCAATTAAATTTTTTTTTTTTTTTATTGAAAATAGATTCTGTTTTTCCTTCTTCCAGTGAGAAACACAGATCATAAGTTATTGTTTGTCTGTAACAGAATTTTTTTTCATAATTTACAGATATTTTTCAATCTTTGAAAGTAACTCATTTTTGTAAACAAATATTAACAATAACTCCAGTCTTTTATTTCAGTACTACGTCCCTTATCCGGATATCTGTTTGCTGGAAGTTTTTTTTTTTTTTTTTTTTTTTTTTTTTTTTTTTTTTTTTTTTTTTTTTTTTTTTACACTTTTTAATAAATAAAACTCTTTTTCCTTTTAAAAATATTATTATTATTATTTTTTAAATTTGTGACTTGTTTATAAGAATTCCTTGCTTTTCAGCTGATTTACGCTTCTTTATGATTTTTACCAGACTTAAGATTTTTGTTCGATTTTAATCAGATTTCCGACTCAATGTTTAAAAAAAATTGGATATTGTGTAAGCTAAATTCAACATTTCAGTAGAACGCGAAGAAAAATCGCCTAATTTTTTTTCTCGTGTCGAAGCATTAAAGGATATTTTTGAAAATGTTTTGTATTTGAGATGAAAAAAGCAGACTATAGCATGTCATTAAGTGATTCTTCAATAGTGCATTTCGTAATCCGTGGATTGTAATATAATATTAAAAATGAAATCTAAATTTTAAAAACTATGTGGAAATCCTAAACTGTTAAAAATGCTTTCATTGATGATGCTTTCAATCACATAATAAAAGCATGCATAACTGCCAACTCTTCTGGATTTTGCCAGTTTCTACTGGTCTACTGGTTTAGTTAAAAATTCTCCTAAATTTTGTACATTTTAGAAAATTCCCAAAAATTGAGTAAAATTTCTAAAAGAAATCTGTATTGAAATATAATTTTTGTACCGATTATTGCTTGCTTTCTAGAATATTTAAATAAGTATTACTAATACCTAATGAAGAGAACCTTATTTATAAAAATTGGTTTGAAATTTTTTCTTTCTTCTACAATGTTCAGTTTATTTTTATTCAGAACTCACTTTTTAAATGAATTAAAAAAAAATCTTTTAACTATCTTTGATGAATTAAATGCCTATTAATATTCGAAATTGTGAGTAAATATAATAAATAACATTTGAAGTATGTTTAAAGTCATTCATAACTGGAAAATATTGCAGTTCTTCTATTTTGATGACTTTAAAAATCCCTAAAATTCTCTATGTGTAAAATATTTAGTACATTATGCAATAATTATCATGAAAATTATCTTATTTCGTAAAATCTACTGGATTTTTTCCTATCCATGTTGGCAGCTATGCACCAGTATAGAGTGTTAAAAAAAAAAGTAATTCTACTAGTGCTCGATTCAAATTTCCCCATGTATGATAAAGTAGCATGACACAGCTATGAAAAATGGGAACAATAACTGAGAAAAAAGGAATCAGAAATCCATGTGGGGTTGCGAGTGAATCGTCAATAATTTAGTGTGAAATGTGCAATTTAAAGTTTGACGAATGAAAAAATATCTTATTTAAACATTGAGATTTTAAAAATCAAGTGAAAATCCATTTTAATAACTACCGAAAAAAGGTCGGCAAAACCGCGTAAATTCACTGTGGATTTGTCTCTTACCAACTCGATTGAGAAAGGATCACTAACTAAAATACGCGATTAGGAATTTGACGTTTGTCTTAATGGCATATTAAAATATTGAGATTTTGAAAACCAAACCTGTAACAAAAGTTGCGAAAATAGTGCAACTACACAAACCACGTGAATTTATTCGTTGTTGATTGAAATTGACGTTAATTATTGTTTATTTGTTATTTTTTTATTGAAGAAGGATATACTGATTTTTTGTTACCTTAAAGACCTATTTTCCGGAAAAATCTATTTTTTGGACTTGCCCCGGCGATTCCGGATGGGGGACTTCCGACTGTATCTAAATTTTAAATATGCTTTGTTAGAATTTTTTTCCAAAAAGCATTTTATTAAGAATCTCAATCTTTTTGGTGCTTTCTCATTTTTATTTTATTTCTTCTGTTTTGTTTTATATTAGATTTATTATAGCAGCTATATCACAAAGCTGATACCTATTCTTAAAAATATAAGTCACTCATAATTGAAGCTTAGGATTATGCTATAGCGATACTAGATAATATTGTCTCTTTATTTCAGGCTACTAGCCCAAACACTACATTCAAAGTATATGTCATGTTTTTAAAAAAATTTTTCTTTACTCTTTAAATACTTATTTTATGAAAAATAAACACTTGTGTTGCTTAAAGTTATGAAGAATCTTTTGTTACTTTTCCATTGTAGTTTTTGTATCACATTCTATTTTCATTCTAATTATTATTTTCTTTAAATTTGTAATAATTGTAGGGATTATTGTAAAATAGATGTTGGCAACAATATGATAGGCCATACTTATAAGTAAAAAACTTTTGTTTCTAAGTTGCAAAAAATTTATGCTTTATGTATTTTTTTTCTAACTAATGAATGGTATTGAACATAAATATATGCATAGAAAATAGACTTAAAAGAAACTTTAAATATTCATATGCGTGTACTCTCTTAGACAAAAGAAACACTGAAAAAACTGAGATAACGAGTTTTCGATTACAGCATCAAGCATAACATTTTTGTAACTGTTCCAATGATTTTCACTAAATATACATTTCATTTGTGTCTATAAACTTTCAGAAAAGTGCATTTAAAAATATATTTTCCGGGAATTGATAGGTTACTTTAAAAAATAATAAATAAAAAAATAAACTTTTTTTCTAATTTTAAAATTTTTATTGCTCTTATTAATTCTAATAATTGTTCTTAATAATAATAATCAACCATGTTGAAAAAGTAAAATGTATTTGGGTAACGAAAAATTTCTGCAACAATGCATAAAATTTATTACATAATCTGAAAAACTTCTGCTCTATTTTTAAAAAAAAAATAAAATTTTTGTTTTTATGACATGTCACAATTTTATATGTTCTAAATAGACTTAATTAATTAATAGACTTAATTAATTAAATGTTTTAATTAATTAATGTTTTTTTGTAATACGTTGAAAAGCATGAGGTGCTATTTTAAAATATGGGACATTTAAATATATTGCAGAATTGTTTTTAAAGAATAACATTTCATACAATTAAATGTTACACTATGGCTGCCATCATTTCAAAATAAAAAATGTCTGTTTTGTAGCAAAAAATAAGCAGACTTATTCCCCCTTAAACAAAATTAGGTAATTTTTTAAAAATTTTAATATTAAATAGCCTATAAACTGTTTTTATGTTTAATTACCTTATTTATTTTAATATTCTATATGTATGATAAAATACTTTTGTTGAAATAAAAATTTATCTAAGAAGCATATGTTTAGATTTTTTCTTATCGTATCTAAATGTAAAGCTGAGTCTACATCGTCTCTCAAAAGTGTATTGCCACAGTATAATGATTTTGTAATAAAAGTATTTGATATCTGATTTATTTTATTTTATAACCGTCGTTGAACAGCCGACCCAATTTTCCGGTTTATGACTACTAATGTTCAACTCCCTAACCTTGTAATTTTAAGCTCAATCCAGAAGACAGAGCAGCTCCTGGATCTTATATTGGGGGGAAATTTGCCTTCGTGGAGGTTTTTGTTGAAGGAATTAACACGCATTTGCGTTACTTAAAGAGGAAAACCTTTCATGGTTAGCCTGACAGCAAGGGGACTCTAGCTTATGATAAGTCTACTTCTGAGGATATTTTATTTCAGCAACTGTGGTCGGCTCAAGGCGGAATTCGTATTGACGAGCCAAAGATGAAATTCGAACACTCTATCATATATGAGCCATCACGGCTCGATATATTGTGATTTTATTTTATAACCGTCGTCAAAGAGCCGACCCAATTTTCGGGTTTATGACTACTAGTGTTCAACTCTGTAATTTTGAACACAATCCAGAAGGCAAGGGGAGTCCAGGATCAAGAGCCTTTGTGGAAGACTTAGGACTAACTTGCATTTGCTTTACATTGAGAGGAAAACCTCCCTTAGTTAGCCTGATGGCGAAGGGACTCTAACCCATCTACCATTGAGCATATATTACGTCAGCACTATAGTCTGTGTGAGCCATCGCTGGGATATAAATTGACCCCCTATTTTTCGTTGTGAGAAAACGAATTTCTGGTGTGCTGGTTGTATAAGCTGGCAAAACCAAATGTAAAAATCTCTGAAATTTAAAAGCATAAATAAAAATATTAAGTCTATTTTTCCAAGTTAAAAATATTTCACATTATTCTCTCTAGATATGATGCCTTAAAAAAAAGATGATGGTCTAGAATCGGGAAATTTGTAACTTTATTTTAAAAGTGTATATTTTTTGAAAAATATTGTCTTTTTCTTATTCTTAATTTTTTTCGTCCTGTAAAGACACGGTTTCCAGTAGAACACCAAAGTCAAGCATCCTTGGCTGCGTTCAGTAAGTTGGTGGGTGACTACTTAGATTAGCCTGCGCGGGGTCGACGACGTTAAACTGTTCTACCGTAAAGTGCTCAACTTCACTCGCAGGTGGTCGGGATGCCAAAGTAGGGGAGACTTCCCCTCTGTAGTGGACCAAAATTGTGATGGCGTGTTTTCAGATCATCCTCGGGTGTGTTTCCCAGACCGACGCCCATAGCAGACTGTGCAGCTAGTTCGATGTAAATAAAGTACCTACCTACCTTTTTTTTTTCCTAATGTAAAATATTTATTTAGAAAAATTACATGTAAAGAAAATATAATGCGAGAAAATGTGTTCTCAGCAGATCACCGAAGTCAAGCATCACTGGCTGCGATCAGTAAGCGAATAGGTGACCACTTGGATCAGCCTGCGTAGGGACCGGGGGTGTGCGGTATGGGTCCTCGTTAAACTGTTCTACCGTAAAGTGCTCGACTTCGCGTGCAGGTCGTCGAACTATCGAAGCGGGGGTGCCATCCCCTCCGCAGAGGATCAAAATTGTGATGGCATGCCTGCGGATCATCCTCAAGGATGTTTCCCAGACCGTCGCCAATAGCCCATTGTGCAGCTCTAGTGCGACGTAAATGAACAACAACAACAGCGAGAAAATGTAAAATTAACTGCATTTAACAAATTTAACCTATTTTTTGAAGGAGTTAGATTGACGCAGAGTTATCCATATTTATCTTGTTTGTAATTACTTCGATATTTTACGATCATTAATGTCTGACTCCCGGGATAGCCTGGTTGGCAAGGCAGTGCACTCACGAACGTGAGTTCGAATCCAGCCGGATGAAGACTTCCCATGTGGTAAATGGTGACTGGTGCACGCTAAATCTATTGGGTCACAAAGTGCTCCTTATCCCCATAATAAATTACAAATGTGAGGGTACTGAAATGGAGATGGATCGTTCTCTGGTTCAGGTCAAAATTACTATCTGTGGATGTATGAATGGGTCCACCCAATAAACGGGTGTTTCAGAAGTCAAATTCTTGGACATAGATGGCGCCATTGGAAATCACGAACAATAGCAACCCTTTGCCTTCGGCAACAACAACGAATATCCCACTGTATAACTCGTGTT